GAAGACGTCGGCCAGCCCCTTAGCCCGAGCACCAGGGGCAAGAGGGCCTAGGGGTGAAAGCCCACCGATCCGCCACCCCGACCAACACCGCCAGGCAGCCCAAGCCCCTACCTCTCCTAGAAAGCACATCAATGGCATTACCACCGCGACATCAAAAGTCCAAAGATGGCGCCTCAGATCGGTACTAGAATCACGAAGAAAACCACTTGGGCCGCCCTCCACTTCCAGCACCGCAAGGACGAAATTGACTTGAGATCAGGGACAGACCGCTCCGACCAGAGCCAGTCGACGAGACGACTGGCGCCTTGCTGGGGAAGGCACACGTGGGAATTGGGCGGATCCGAAGAAGAGGAAAAGAGGCGAGGAGAGAGGGATGAAAAATTAGGGCTTTTCCGTGGTCATGTCTAAATGCATCAACTTTAATCATTAAATTTTAAATATTATTTAAATACAAATTCAAAATTACACTCAATCTTCTATTCAATTAACTTTACTCAAAGTTAACTCATTTTAACCAATAAATCCAATTAAAACCGATTTTATTTATATCCAATCACCCCCTAATAACCAAGGAGTCAAATCCAATAACTTTAAACCGTAGAATACGAATCAAACTAATATTATGGATGCTACATCAATCTCCTTTTTCAGTTCTTGCTAGAAACCAGGAGTTCATGCGAGTCACCTTCAAAACACCACAAATCTTGAATCAGACAAGTCTTGAAGAAAAGATCGACCAAGCAACCAATGAAGCACAGGAGTTGCTACGCCAAGGTGTGGCAATGTTTTGGGCCCCGTCCAGACAGAAGAGCACAGGAACATGATGTGGGTTGTAGCGTGTTTATTGAAAAGATGGCATGCTTATTAAAATTCAAGAATGCAAGAAAATAGAAAGCTTAATGACAATTGCAGAATGCTTCATATGTTACACACATAACCTGCATCTCATCTTCTTTTCAAATTGAAATAATAACCTCAGAACCTTTCTATACAAGTTTCACTAGAAGGTAGAAACATAGTAAAAGTTAAAGTAACAATGTACAGGAAACATAACAGAAAATAAGGGTAAAGAAACATGTCTACTCATCAATCAAAGCTCACCAAACACAAGACAACTACTTTCGGACTAATGTTTTATTAGTTCTAAGTTCTAACACTCTTCTGTTGGAGAAGAACAAATTTCTTCTACATACAGAGAAGCAAATCTAATATACAAGCTACAAACAGCACAATCAACTCCAATGCTGCCTAAGTATAACCCCAACTAGATAACAGACCATCCCAACCCAAGCTGCGAACTTTTCCATCTTCATCTTGAATAAATAGAACGCCAAACGAATTAGAGAACCAACTTTAAACCCCGCCTCCATTTCACAATAAATCCCCACACAAACCAATAAAACGATAAAAAAATCATTAACTTGCAAAAATGAAGCAAGTAATCAACTTAGTCCCGATCTACCGCCTTGTTCAAGATCCACATTTCTCGGACTAGAAGGATTAACCCGTCTATTACCACTCAAAAGTCTCTTTAACGACCTTATTCTCGTTGGCATTGGAGATTTTTGCTCGTCCTCTTCATTTACCTGTCTTGGAATATCAATGACCAAAATCCCTTCAGGATTATTACTCGACGATGATGATGGTTCTGAGTTAGCACTGCTTCGATTCTCTTCATCCAAACAAGGACCTAATGCATTCACTCGGCTCTCGTCTCCCCAAAACAACACGTTTGTCGGGAAACTCGGGGTTTCCGCAATCGGATCTTGAATTATGCTCTCAAGATGCAAATCATCACCCGAATCCATATCCTTTTGATTTGCAACAGGGTTTCTACAGAGCGGGCAAGTGGAGTGTGATTGGAACCACATGTCTATGCAATTCAGATGAAACCCATGATTGCATTTGGGCAAAAGCCGAGCCTTTTCACCTTCAGAAACCTCACACAAACAAACTGCGCATTCCAATCCGTCTTTGAAGAGACTCGAGTCGAATGTCACCACTGGTAGGGTTTTGAGGATGCTCGGGTCGAGGCCGCGGCTCAAGGCGGTGCCAGCGGTGAAGTTGAAACGGCGGCGAACGGTGGCTGAGGTGGCGGTCGTGGTTTCCCGGCGGCGGTGCCAGAACCATTTGGCATATAGATGGACGGCGGAGATGAAAACAACGACGAATAAGACGAGAACAATTGAGACCACCATTATTTTGCCCGTGAACTCGATTACACTGCCGTCTCCCAGATTGCCGCTCACTTCTGTTGAGTCCCCCATTTTATTTATTTATTTATTTATTTTTTTCTCGTTCTTTTTCAGATGATAGTTTTTCACGGATGTATTGGGGGAAAAGGACACAAAGAATCGAACTTCAGTAGTTACTTACTGAAAACGGAATCAAGACGGGATTTCTTGAATGAGGAAGAACAAAATTGCAACCTTGACAAGATGAGCTAATGTTGTTGAAGGAAAAGACCCAACAAAATTGGAATTCAATAGCAAAAATTGAGGGTTCCACTTTGGGAGTCCCAAGAATGTAGGGTGGACATGTAAGAAATTTCTTTAAAATTTGTGAATCTTGGAATTATAAGAGAATTAAAGGAGAAATCTACTACTCCAAGAAATTAGCTGAAGATTCGCAGCAACTCCAAAGAAATTTTGCTTTGTCGAACCAACGTATAAGAAAGAACATTANTTTGAATATCCAGCAGAAGTTCGGATCTTTAAGGAAAATTCTCGGTGATACATATATAAGGAAAAAAATTGAAAGCAAAAAGGAAAAAAGAAAAAGAAAGACCGGGCCGTCTACTTGAGAACGTGACCTTAAATTTGGGAAAACGCAAAATGGGAAAAATAGCCGTCAGCGCAGACCGGAAGTTTCAACTGTCACGGGAGAATGGGAGTTAGACGGCAACCTATTGACTGGGAACCAAGTTAGAAAATTGGAGGAAAGAAAATCAAATCAAATTGGATTATAATTCCATTGGTGGCTTTTTCCCATTGACACGTATCGCGGAGTTTAGGCCGAGGGGGTAACCAACTTGGACTTTTCTGTTTTTGTTTTAATTTTGACTATTGATTTTGTCCTGCTGATGAGAGGTGGGGCTTTATTTATTTATTTATTTATTCTTTTTATTTTTTTTTCGGCATTGAGACGTGGTCTTTCTATCATTCTATGTTTCTTCTAGCATGGTGGGGTGGGGCAATAGAAGTGCAGTGGTGATCAGTATTAAGACCAAGTTTAATGTTGCACTATAACATCACTAACTTAAGAGTTTGTGCAAAAAATTCGCTCAGCGCTGCATTTTCGCACTACTCTTAAGATATGAACAGTATGCTACATGTATCAATTAATAATAAGATCAAACTATGTTATTTCTATAAGATGAATTATTGTGTATCCCATGCGATGCACGAGAACAATATTAAATTAACAATATTATAAATAGACCTCGAGTTTGAGTCACTCAATGACGGAAGTGGAAACTACTATTGATCCTATTTAAAAAGGGGAAGAAAAAAAATAATTATAAATTAAAGAGGAGGATAAACAATACTTAATAATTATAAATTAAAGATTTGGGGTCAAACAATGTAAAATTATTTTGCATAAGAGAATATAAAAAATTTGATTACACATCATTTCAAATTATTATTATACTTTTTTGTTTGGTTAGCTTATAATATTGGTAAAAATATTAGTAATTAGACCGATGAAAATTAGTTTCTTAAAATAGATAATGGATTTCTAGTAGTAATTATGATTTGATTTCTATTTTATTTTATTTTTTCAAATTTGTATAGATAAGGGATGAGATTTTTTAAACACGTCAATGGAATTTTGTAACAGAAGAGATAAGCTCGTGTAGATTTATACTAAAAATAGGAAAAAAGAAAATTAAATATTTATTGTCAAACAACGGTTTTGATAAACTAAAAAACAGGAAAAAGAGAAACAAATATTTACACAATTAATGAGCAGATTTTTTTGCCTATTCAGATTTGTCCAACAATTACTATATGTAGGATATATTTAATGATTTTGGCGGAAAAAATTTTTAAATTTATAAAAATGTTATTCTTTTTATATAACGATAGATTTAGCACAATATTTTTTTGCAGACATAAAAAATCTCATTTGGTTAGCTTATTAATAGTCTTCAATTTTATATAAGAATAAACTTTGCATTTAAAAGTTTAGAAAAAATTACTTGGTTCACCTACAAATCTCTAATTATTTGCACATTTATGAATTATTTATTTAACTATAAATTTACTAAATTTATGGTTTATGAATGGCTGATTGTGATTTATTTGTCATTTATTTATTTATTAATTATATTATTATTTTTTATAATTCATGATTTATCCATAGTTTTAATTTGCATCTCATATTTTTTGTTTTTTAAAAAAAGAAGAAAATAAAAAATTTCAGTGGAGCCTAAAAAGTATAAACCCATAAACGGTTCGGCCCAAATTTTGAGTCTCTTAAAAGTGGGCCAAATAAGAAATATTAGCCCAATAGGCAGCCAAAGATCACGTGGACTTCACATGACAAAGACAAACTTCGATGTACCAGTTTCTGTTCTCTGCTTCTTGGTCAAGAAAACTTTGCATCTGAAAAGATATATCCGCGACCAAAATCCCAGAAAAAAAAGTAATTATTCGGAAATGGCACCGGATGCAGAGGATGAGATCAAGGACGAGAAGAATCCTAGGCCTCTCGATGAAGACGATATTGCCCTCTTGAAGACCTATGTACTGTTTATATTTATCCCTTCTCTATGACCTTATTTTCAGCTGTTATTTTTTTTATGAAGATTCGATTTTTTTAAGCATTGCTTGTTTTTTCGCTTAGAATCATGATGGGTTTCTGTGTAACCTTTCTTTTGAGTTATACGGTGGCTTAGGTTGTTCTTCTAGTATAAAGTTTCTTTTTTTTTTTTCGTTTACGGTATTTCCTATTTGTTGCTAATTCTGATCTATGAAGTTTGTGATATATATACATTTATATATTGCCTGGGTTTTATCTGGTTTGTGGTGAATAAAGCGATTTTAATTTTCTGTTAATTGGGAAAGTAATAACTTGAAGCAAATCATACGTGGATTAAAGTCCGTATTTTTTTTCTTGTTTGCTGCCTGGTATTCTTAATTAGTTTATGCACACTGAAATTTATGATGGGAAAAGTGGTTGCTGCAGTGGAATCATGTTGTGTTCATTCTATCTTAATGAGTTACTGAGTATGGTTATATCAATGTTATATCTTCTATTTAAAGTTTAAACCCCCTTGCATCAAGGAGTGTTGTTGTATTGAAGTTCTTGAAATTGATTTGACTAGGGATTGGGCCCTTATTCTACAAGCATCAAGAAAGCTGAGAAGGAAATCAAGGAGATGGCTAAGAAGATTAATGATCTATGTGGTTTGTTTTCTGATCTTGTTATTATTATAATAACTCAACTCTGTGGCTGTTCATTCCATATTCCTCTTTAGGCCAACAAACATGAGTGCAAGTTTCACAAAGCAGTAATTTATTTATTTTCTCCTCATTTAGGTATCAAGGAATCTGACACTGGTTTAGCTGCTCCTAGCCAATGGGATCTTGTATCTGATAAGCAAATGATGCAGGAGGAACAACCTCTTCAGGTAAGAATCTTTCTTGATTTGATCCGTAAATTTAACCCCATCCATCGATGTATATAATTATAAAATATAAATGGTTGTTGTAACTAGGTTGCAAGATGTACGAAAATCATAAATCCAAACACGGAAGACGCGAAATACGTTATCAATGTTAAGCAAATTGCGAAGGTATGCTCGTTCCCCTTTCTCCTAGATGCTTTTTTTAGAGGTTAATTGTGTTCTGCGATTGGGAAGATTGAGATGAGATTTCTTTCCTTTAGCTTGGCTTCCATATAACTGACACAACCATTGTAGAATGTTGAGCGTACTATATTTGTTGTTCATGAATCTTTTATTTTATTCATGCCCAATTCTTTCTTGCAGTTTGTTGTTGGATTGGGTGATAAAGTTTCACCTACAGATATTGAAGAAGGGATGAGAGTTGGGTAAGCTTTTTCTATCTTTGTTTTGTCTTTTGGCTGCAAGGGCGTACAATATTTCATTTGGGTACCTAGTTTTAGAGTATATGTTACTGGTTCTTGGAAGAAGAACCTTTGGTGTCAAATTACATATATGATAATGAGTTTAATAGTTTCTCCATATGCTTTTTCCAACCACATTTTACTTAAATTAGCCGGTGCAGGAATACAATTCTCTTCTCATTTTAGTGCTGTGATTATATTTGCGAAAGCTGTTATGATGTAATCAAGTTTGAGACTAAGCTTTTCTTTATTGTAGTGTTGACCGAAACAAATATCAAATTCAGATTCCTTTACCCCCAAAAATCGATCCAAGTGTGACGATGATGACTGTAGAGGAAAAGCCAGATGTGACCTATAATGACGTTGGTGGGTGCAAGGAACAGATTGAAAAGATGCGAGAGGTATATCATAGTTTGCAAATTACATTACATTTTTCTGAGTAATCCTATAATTGGAGTGAGAGTGCAAATGACCTTCCTTGAACGTTTGTAATGTATAATTTATTTATCTTCTTCTTTTTTTTCCTCACAAGGTTGTCGAGCTGCCCATGCTTCATCCTGAAAAATTCGTGAAGCTAGGAATTGATCCTCCAAAGGGTGTTCTGTGCTATGGCCCTCCTGGCACTGGTAAAACTCTATTAGCCAGAGCTGTGGCTAACAGAACTGATGCATGTTTTATTCGTGTTATTGGGAGTGAGCTTGTCCAGAAGTATGTTGGTGAGGGAGCTCGTATGGTTCGCGAACTATTCCAGGTCCAATACTCTCACTCTTGGATTTGTTTTTCTGTATTTGCTAATTGTTGATTGATGTTAACAAGAATTAATTTCATTTTCGTGGCAGATGGCACGTTCTAAAAAAGCCTGCATTGTATTTTTTGATGAGGTGGACGCCATTGGAGGTGCAAGGTTCGATGATGGTGTTGGTGGGGACAATGAGGTCCAGCGTACCATGCTTGAAATTGTGAATCAGCTTGATGGATTTGATGCTCGTGGAAATATTAAAGTTTTAATGGCAACCAACAGGTGAGAAAGGCTTTGACCATTGTCAGCTAGCAAATGATCCTTCTTAGTTATCAACATAGACTTGTACTTTTTCTTTTCAATTATTCTTTTAACTGTTGAGAATGGAATATTATGGCTTTCATTATTTTTCAGGCCTGATACTCTTGATCCAGCACTCTTACGACCTGGAAGGCTAGATAGGAAAGTGGAATTTGGACTGCCGGATCTTGAAAGTAGGACCCAGATTTTCAAGATTCACACACGAACAATGAATTGCGAGAGGGATATTCGATTTGAGCTTCTTGCTCGGCTCTGCCCAAATTCAACTGGTAAAAGATTTTTTTCTCTTGCACAGAAGCTGCTGCAAATGTTATAGTTCTTGTTCTCGGCTTCCCATATATATGACTTCAGCTTTTATCAATTGGTATAATCATATAATGCATCGGTTTCTATACATAGCACGTTGGTGTTAACGTGATATTAAGTCTTGGATCATTCATTTGTGATAATTACATAAATTACCGTTGAAGTTGAAACTCTGACAATAATCAACTTGAGATTCTTGGAATTAGACTAAACTTTATGATAATTTTTTGTGATATCCCTTTCCATTTACGATGCATTCTGGTGGATATTATCCGGCAATTGATTGATTTTGCATTGGTGTTTTTCTCCAGGAGCTGACATTAGAAGTGTATGCACTGAGGCCGGAATGTATGCTATTCGAGCAAGGAGAAAAACTGTGACCGAGAAAGACTTCTTAGATGCTGTCAATAAAGTTATCAAAGGTTATCAGAAATTCAGCGCGACTCCAAAATATATGGTTTACAATTGATAAAACTCTGCAGTGGGGAATCAAACTTTGGTGAGGATCACTAAAAGTTCTTGCTCGTCGCCGTTAAACTTCGGATGTAATATTTTAACTCTTGTTCAGAGTATTCCCAGAAAACTTGTGTATTATATAACTATGCAATGTTTAGAGTTCACATTCTTTCTTGTCTTTTCTTGTCTTTCACTTCGTGATATTATTGGTTGATTATAGAGGAAGAGGAGGAGAATGTGCTCCAACAACAGCAGACTTAGTGTTATCGTTCTCTTGGAGCAAACCTTGGAGGAGTTTGATGTGTTTCACCTTTGTAGTAGTTTTACACTTTTTACTACATCTTTTTGCCCTTTTGACAATCCATAGCAGNTTACACAGAAAACGTATTTACGAAATACGTGCTTTCTATGTTGGTCCACTCTCCCTTTTTTTTTGTTTTTTGTCCACTTATTATTTTTTTATTAATAAATATATAAATCTCCCAAGTTAAAAATGATTATTTCTAATGGTATTGCACTATATTAAAAATATATCAACTAAAAAATTTATCTATAAATTCATTACATATGAATTACAATATTTTTATGATGTAAGAAGGGTACATCGTACAAGTGAAAGTCTCATATTAAATATAAAAAATAATATAATTTTTTAAAAAGTAATAGATGTTTAAAAAAAAAAACACATTTTCTCTTACATTTTTCATAATGCAAATTTTTAAATAATATTTGAAATTTAAATTAAAAAGATTTCACTTACAATTTTTAAAAAAATTCTGTATAAATTTTTGTAACTATAGCACCCATACAATTACGGTGTTGTTGAATGTCCCGATTCTACGTGTGTTTCATAATCCTATATTTCGAATTCTTGTGCTCCGTTTATGTGTCAATTTCTGTACTTGAAAATAGTACAAGTAGATCTGAATTCTATTAATACAGTTGTTGATCCTACTATCATTATATTATCTTGAGAACTCCCTAATTATAAAAATATAATTGGACTAGGGTTAGTCTAAAGACTAGATGAATAGATTATTTATAACATAAAGAATATTAAAATGATAACCTACAAATCCATTTTGCTTTCTTAATAAACTACAATTTTCGAGTACCTTATTTCAGCAGGACATTGTCTAGAAATTTAAAGCACATGTTGCACTTTGTTTTATTCTGATAATTGAATTGATTTTATTCAGATTTGGTTGGTATTAACTAATAAGTCAAATCTAGTGAAAGATTATTTAATTCCATTTAGACTCTTCATTATTGAAGAGCAAAATTTATTTCCATTTAGATTTCTTCACAATATAGAAAGAACTAGTATTCGATTATTTGTATTTGCACATATGTAAATAAAGTATTGTGAGTTATTTGTATGCATGTAATGATAAATGTTTTTTTCTTTCACTTTATTGCATGTCAAATTTACAATTAAAGGAGTTGAAATATTTGTTTTTTTAAATTGTGTTTATGAGATTGGATGTAATGTATATTTTGGTATATATTTTTTTTGTGAATTGTTTATTATTTATTTGAGAATTTAAAATACGTTTTTTATTTTCTAAAAAAAATTAATTTAAATGTAACTATAATAATAACATATAATCTATTAATAATCAAAAGTTTTAAATAATTTTTTATAATTTTAAAGTAATTAGTGTGTAGATTATCTAATAATTAAATGAAAAGATAAATAAATCAAAAGTAACGATTTTGGAGGAAAAATATTATATTGGCACATAGGTAAAATTAAATAAGTTTTATTAAATATTTAACTAGCAATTATACATATAAAGATTTTGCATTTCATTTGAAATGAAAATTTAAAGACCGAAGAGCATACAAAATTATGATTTAACACATTATGAATATGAGACTTAAATTATGAATGGTTTGGGCAATGTGAAAAGAAAAGTGATGTGTGAATTTTTAGACAATGTAAAAAGAATTAATGTGTTATATTTATCTCTTAGGAGACCGAATCCCAAATTTAGTGTTATGAAATAATATATGTGAAAAACATTATAAATAACCATATTTTGAGTAAGATTATGCAAAATAAATGCTTTTCATGGCTCTTCATTTGTAGCATCACCATGGTTTTATAATTTAATATAATTTAAGGAGTGAATTGTTAAAAGGGAATGCAAACCCAAAAAGAAGTGAGAGATTTTTTTTTAAAAAAAAAAAGAACCCAAAACAAGAAAGAAATACTAATCAATAAATAAAATAATTAGAAATGAAAGCAGGTAAGAGTAAGACCGTAATAATTAAGAGAGGAGAGAGGATAGAAAATTGGTAGCCATGGCATGGACGGCAAACCAGCATCGTCACTTCCCAATTCCCATTATAATTTATTAAGATGCCACACCTCCCACAAGGTCACACTCCAGTTGCCTAACTTTTTTTTCTATTTCTGTTTCTTGAAAAAAACTCATTCTGAATTTTAATATTGTTTCTCTCTCAAAATTTCAACGCTTGTTGAATTTTTCAAGGGAAAGGCTTGCTGAACTCTGAAATTTTTGGTGACCATCGTTTCAGTTAATCTGCTCAAAGGTAGCATCTTTTTTTTCCCTTGTCTTTGGTTGCTTTTGAAGAGCTGGTCTGTTTTTCCACATGAAACATTTTGATGCTATTTCTTTCGACAATTTTTTTTTAAAGAATTGTTAGCTTTCTGGAGTTCCAAGGTAGCATCTTTTGTCATGCTTGAAAAATTCAGTGAAACATTTCTTAAATTTTAACGCGTTGCTATTTGCTCATGGTACTATTCTGTTGACCTGAGTTGAAATTGTGATTTTGCGAGATCTGTTCTTTCTGCCGATTCTTTGGGAAAAATGTTCTTTTTTGATTGAAATGTTTGGTACATCATGCTTGATGATATTGCCCGGAAGGTTATTGCAGTGTGTTCCATGATTGGGAATGCAAAGTTGCTATTTTGCCACTACTCTTTTCATTTTTACGGTTTCAGTTGATATTTTAAGTTTATATTCAATTTCCAAAGGTTAAGTTTGGAGATTTAATTGGGACTATGGGGTAGTTTCTATCAATGAGTATATTTACTGGCAGTGCTGATATAATATTCTCAAAATAGCTGTTTACTAAGCAATGAAATTCTGCAGTGGCAATAAGAGCCTGAAAAAGAGGTTGGCTCACCTTTTGAAATCAAATTGAGATATGGCCCAATTTGGACACGTGTCTGCTGTTAGCTTAAGCAACCAAAATAACACAGCCAGTATTTTGAGCCGACACTCTGCAAGAAGACATGGACTCTCATTCGCTGGTAGCAACTCTTTCGGTCATAAATTGAGAATTTCGGATGCACGTGCCTTTTTATCGAGATCTAAGAGGAAGTTATCTGTTTTGAAAGTATGCCTGCTCTCCAATTTTTGTTCAAATTGGTTAGGATAATCATTAGTGGATGAAGAACAAACTGAATCGATGCTAGGTATATGTTGTTTATTGACTAGGTTGTTTGCATTGACTATCCAAGACCGGAGCTTGACAACACAATCAACTTTTTGGAAGCTGCTTACTTGTCAACTTCTTTTCTTTCTTCTCCTCGTCCTGAAAAGCCATTGGAAGTAGTCATTGCTGGTGCAGGTTAGATCATCTTTTTCTTCGTTTTCCAAATTTTTTCATCTTTTGTTTTAATAAGAATACGTTGAGTGGGTTTCTAGCTGTCTAATTTTGCTGTCACGTGGTGATGTAAAGTTGGAACATTGTTGGAGTTTGTTATTCTTGCTCGCAGATGAGATAGATAGCATTTTCCAAAAGAGAAAAAACTAACAATGTGTTAGTCGTGATGTGACAGTAAGAAGGATTTGCTNCTGGTTTGTCAACAGCAAAATATTTGGCAGATGCAGGCCATAAACCTATATTGTTGGAAGCAAGGGATGTTTTGGGTGGAAAGGTTGGTTAGGCACTTCACAAATCCATTTTTACTTAAAACTTTTCCTTTTGGTCAAACATTTCAATCTTTTTTTCTATGACCAGGTGGCGGCATGGAAAGATGATGAAGGAGACTGGTACGAGACTGGGTTGCATATATTTTGTAAGTTTGACTTCTAAAAAATGATACTATTTGTTTTATAAATGACTTTCTAATCGCTTTTTTAGTTCGACCACGGTTTGTTCATATGCAAAAAAGATATGTGCTTGATGCATGATTTGGTGTAGTTGGGGCTTATCCGAATGTTCAGAGCTTGTTTCGAGAATTGGGCATTAATGATCGGTTGCAATGGAAGGAGCATTCCATGATTTTTGCTATGCCAAACAAACCAGGACAATTTAGTCGGTTTGATTTTCCGGAAGTCTTACCTGCCCCAATTAATGGTGAGCTATTTATTAACGAGGAACTCATTTAAGGAAGAGTTTACGCTCTGGACAAAATAAAAGAAAACTAATCGTAATTAAAGTGAATCATCTCGTGCATTCTCGGTTATGTAGAAGTTGAAAATACAACTTGGTGTATTTATTTAAAACTACATTTGAGAATTTTCCAATTCCCTGCTATTTACATAAAATGGTGTTGCAGGAATATGGGCCATCTTGAAGAACAATGAAATGCTTACATGGCCAGAGAAAGTCAAGTTTGCAATCGGGCTCTTGCCAGCCATATTAGGTGGCCAGTCTTATGTTGAGGCGCAAGATGGAATAACAGTTCAAGACTGGATGAGAAAACAGGTATGTATTTTATTTTCTTCAACACTCCATTTTTTTCTTGTCATATTTTCTGATCTCGGTTTCATTGTTTGTAATTCACGGTTCCCATCATTTTTCAGGGTGTACCAGACAGGGTGACCAAAGAAGTATTTATTGCCATGTCTAAAGCACTGAACTTCATAAATCCGGATGAGCTTTCAATGCAGTGCATTCTAATTGCTTTGAACAGATTCTTGCAGGTACTCTCTTTCTCTCTCTCTCTCTCTATGTATGTATATATATATATATATGCAAATTTGTGCACATTAATACTAATCAATGAATCTTCATCTTCAGGAAAAGAATGGGTCAAAGATGGCTTTCTTGGATGGCAATCCCCCAGAAAGACTGTGCATGCCAATCGTTGATCATATTCGACATCGAGGTGGCGAAGTCAGACTCAACTCACGGATACAAAAAATCGAGCTAAATGAAGATAAAAGTGTGAAAAGCTTTGTACTGAATGATGGAAATGTGATCAAAGGAGATGCATATGTATTTGCAACTCCAGGTGAACCTTTAATCTTCTGTGCAGGATTTGTATCCTCTTATTTAGTAATTAATTACTGATTTATTCATCACTATTTTGGTAGTTGATATCCTAAAGCTGCTTTTGCCTGACGACTGGAAAGAGATTCAGTATTTCACGAAATTGGAGAAATTAGTTGGGGTGCCCGTTATAAATGTTCACATATGGTTAGTCTTTGGAAAAATTCCTTAATTTATTTGATATTTATGTAACATACTAACATTCAAAAATATCTACATCATTTTTAAGTAACTAACCCGAACTTCTTGCCGTAGGATATATTTTGTAATTACTTGTTTGAATGCATGATAAGCATGTGACAATATCTGATTTCTGTTGCAGGTTTGACAGAAAGCTAAAGAACACATATGACCATTTACTTTTCAGCAGGTGTGTTCATTATTCAAATTATATGACCTTTTAATGATTGAGCTAAATACCAAGATGTTTTACAGCTTTGCATAAAATATGGTAAATAGCTTTTACTCTCTCTTTTTTTCTTGCAGAAGCCCACTCCTCAGTGTATACGCGGACATGTCGGTAACTTGTAAGGTAAAACATATGCAATACTTTTTTGTTACAATCAAGATTCACTTTTTGCGTGTGTGTCTGTGTGTTGTGTATTTTTTTTTTAATTTATTAATATTATTTTTTCTGGGGTGGTGGTTCTTCTACTTATCTACGCATTTAATTTGTCATTCAGGAATATTACAATCCGAATCAGTCGATGTTGGAGTTGGTTTTTGCACCAGCAGAGGAATGGATCTCGCGAAGTAATGAAGAAATAATCGAAGCTACCATGAAGGAACTCGCCAAACTATTCCCTGATGAGATCTCGGCTGATCAGAGCAAAGCCAAAATATTGAAATACCATATCGTCAAAACTCCTAGGTCAGCAAATGAATAATAATAACACAGTACATTGGTACTACTAACTAATCTCTTACCTTTTAACTGTTAATTCTGGGATTTGACTTTCTTAATAGGGT